TTTTTTATTTTAATTATACAATAAAAAATAACTATTTCATATTTCTTATTTTATGCCACTGCATGTGATATAAATCAAATTTAAAATTAATAAGGGAAGGAGACCAACACTTAATTTCACAACTTGTTTATTGATTTAATTTAATAATATAGCTAAATTGCAAGCTTTTATAGCATTTCTAATTATAGGTCTCACGGCATCTCCGTCTTCGTCGTCAAGCTCTCCCCATCCTTTCATTTTCTTACAATTTTTGCAACAAAACCAAAGTGTTTTTTAGCTTAGATCTCAGAGCAGGAAAACATGCAGTCTAATTCACAAGTCAACCGACGCATTGCAAGAATTTCAGCCCATCTCCAGCATCCCACTTCCCAGGTTCTTGATTGCCGATAATCAATGCTCTTTGTTTTCGTTGATGGTTTTGCTGATTTTGAGTTTTGGGTTCATAGATGGAGGAGAATTCGGGGTTGACGCGGGCAAATTGTCGGGCGAAGGGTGGCTCACCTGGGTTCAAGGTGGCTATCCTGGGTGCTGCAGGAGGGATTGGGCAGCCTCTAGCAATGTTGATGAAGATGAATCCGTTAGTTTCGGTGCTTCATCTCTATGATGTGGTCAATACTCCCGGTGTCACCGCTGACATTAGCCACATGGACACCGGTGCTGTGGTAAGATGCTGAAGAAGTCAATGTGTCTTTTTGCATTTTGAGATTGTTGATTCAACTTTAGGGCGGTTTGGATTTATTATTAGGTATTGGGAATTAGAATTTTGATTCAAATTTTAGCTTATAACTTCAAATTTATAAGAGAAAACCATGAAATCAATTAGTAGTAAAGCAATCATATTTTGTAACAAGCTTTTAATTATAGTTTGTTTGTGCTGTTTCATAGACAGATGTTTCACCTTCTCTTTTTATTAGGAACCTAGGATGGACCTCCTCTTGGCTGAACAGCCGGCAACTGAATAGAATATAGTTGTTCTATATAGTTTTGCATTTCAAAGTAACTCATCAAAATTTTTTCGTCTTGAATGTTAATTATACCTTTGAACTTTTAGGTCCGTGGATTTCTGGGGCCTCAGCAGTTAGAGGCAGCTCTTACAGGCATGGACCTCGTAATTATTCCAGCAGGTGTTCCTAGGAAACCTGGAATGACAAGGGATGATCTGTTCAACATCAATGCTGGAATTGTTAAGACCCTTTGTGAGGGAATAGCAAAGTGTTGTCCACAAGCTATTGTCAACTTGATTAGTAACCCTGTTAACTCTACAGTTCCAATTGCTGCAGAAGTTTTCAAGAAAGCTGGCACTTTTGATCCAAAGCGGCTTTTGGGAGTCACAATGCTTGATGTTGTTAGAGCCAATACCTTTGTGGTATGCAGTTGTATCTCATTCCTACTAGAGTTCCTCTATGTGTTTAGGGAATGTTAATGGTTTTATTTTATCTTCATTTACTTGTTTATAAGATATGGTTGCCTAAATGTGCTATTCAATAGTGAATGGGAAAATTGCATTGGGAAGGGGGGCTTTGGGAGAGAGAAGGGGGGAGGGG